CACACACACGGACCCGCGGGCCCCGCACGCCCCGTCCCCGCGGCATTTCCCAACTCCTGGCCGGCTGCAGCCCCCCTGCTCCCCCCGCGCCCTGCCCTGACCTTTGCACGAATCCCCCAGGGCGGCCGTGGCAGGGTATAAAGAGAGAGCGCAGGGCTGTCCCGAGTCACAGAGCCGGCACAGGTGAGCGGGGACAGCCCCGGGGCCGTGCTGGAAGGGGTCGCGGTCGGGTCGGGACCCCCGTGCTGCCCCACACCGTGCGCTCTGCTCTCTCCCCAGCCATGAAGGCGTCGCTGCTGTTCCTGCTCGCCTGCACGGCCGTCCTGGCGGTGGGAGCGCGTAAGGGACAGCGGGGCCGCGCAGGGGAGGGCTCGGGGCTCGGAGAGCCGGGGGTACACTCGCGGGGCACAGCCCCGGGCCCCGCTCCCCCGTCCCACCAGGCTGTGCTTGCAGGGGCCGACTCGCCCGAGGAGCCCAAGCTGGTGCACAAGGTGCAGGAGCTGGCGCACAAAGCCACGGCCATGGCCAAGGACGCCTTCAGCAGAGTCCGCGAGTCGGACGCGGCGCGGCAGGCCAGGTGCCCCGGACCCCCGCCAGCCCGGACCCCTGTCCCTGTCCCCGGGGAGCCCGAGCTGACCCCCCGATCAGACCCCCGAGATAACCCCCGAGATAATCCCCGATCTGACCCCCTGAGCTGACCCCTCCACTCCCCGCGCAGGCAGTGGCTGTCGGAGAACGCGGAGCTGGCGAAGCAGCGGCTGCTGTGGCTCAAGCAGCAGCTGGCGGAGCTCTGGAAGAAGACCCCGTCCGCGTAGCCCCGTGGGGGCTGTCGGGGCTGGGAACCCCCCGCTCCCACCCGCTGTCGTGGTGCTCTCAATAAAGTGCAGAAGCAGAGGCTGTGGTGGCATCACTGGGGCTGGCAATGAGGAGAGTGACCCGCGGGGAAGGGAGGGCTGGGACAGGGACCAACATTGGGGTACACACGGCCACCTCGGGGTGCCCAGGGCGGCGGGAGCCGGGTGCTGCTTCCACAGCTCTGCAGATCCAGTCCCACCACGCCCCGGTGCTCTGGGTGGGACCGAGCCTTGCTGCACCTCGGGAAGAGCCGGGCTCAGTGCAGGGCGAGCCCAGAGCACCCCTCAGCAGCTCCGTGTGCCCCCAGTCCCTCTGCATCCCCCAGACCCCCAGCTCAGAGCACCCCTCACCCCCTCCAGCATCCACTGCAAAGACTGAGCGAGCTCCAATAACTTAAGTCACTTTTATTTGACAAAAGGGAGGCAAAGCTGAGAGCGACTCCGGGTCGGGGAGGGATTCTAGGGGAGGAGGGGGTCTCCGGGGAGGACACCCTRGGGCTGGGCTGGCCCGAGGCTCCTGCAGCCTGTCCCCAGAGCCCCCGGGGCAGGGCAGGGAGCACCCAGGGCAGCTGCAGGAAGGGGCTGGGTCAGTCCCTGGCCGCGCCGGCCGGCGGCTCAGGCCACGCTCTTCTGGAGATCCTCCAGGAGGCTGATGAAACGGGCCTTGAGGTTCTCGGTGTAGGGGGTCAGGCGCTCCTTGAAGTCCTGCACCAGGGGYGTCATCTTCTCGCGCAGGTTGCTGAGCTGCTCCACCACCTTGGCCTGGTACTCGGCGGCCTGGGGGATGCCCTTCTCGCGGATCTCCTCCAGCTTCTGGCTCAGCTTCTGCCGCAGCTCATCGCTGAAAGGGGCCACGTTCTTGCGCAGCTCCTCGACGTGCCCGCGCAGACGGTCCCGCGCCTCCTCGGCCACCGGGGTCAGCTTCTGCTGCAGCAGCTCCACCTTCTGCTTGCTCAGCTCCTTCAGCTCCTGGGCGAGGGGGGCCAGGCGCTGGCGGTACTGCTCCAGATCCTCCGTCCACTTGGCAGAGAACTGGTCCAGGAAGGGCTTGATCTTCTCCTTCACCTCCTCCAGGTCCTTGGTCAGCTCGGCGCGCAGGGCCTCGGTGTCTTTCAGCCACATCTCCCGCACCTCTTTGTAGTAGGGGGCCATATCCTCTCTCAGCTTGGCGGCGGCTGCGCCCAGCGTGTCCAGGTTCTCACCCAGCTTCAGGCTGCGGGGACAGAGGGARGTCACACACGGCGCCCGGGGTGCCCCCGCCAGCCCCCCATCACACCCCACACTTACTCGAGCTGTTTGCCCACGGTGGAAGCCTCGAACTGGGCAATGGCTTCCTTGCCGCTGGCCTTCACTGTCTCCAGGTACACATCGAGCATGTCCTTGAGGCGATCCAGGGGTGCCTGGGGGTCATCGTGCTGCAGGAAGGAGCGGGCCTGGGTGCCTGCGGGGACAGTCGGGTGTGCTCAGGACACAGCGCCCGGGGACGGCTCCAGCCCTGCCGGGGACCTGCCCGGCCCGGGAGGGCTCCAGGGAGCCCCTSGGCTCCAGCCCGGCTCGCAAAGCGCTTCGGAAAGCAGCGGCTTCCAGCAGCGCTCGCGTCGGGCTCGTCCCTCCATCCCTCCCGTGCCGCTCCATCCCGCTCCGGACCTACCCGTCAGGCAGAGCAGGGCGAGGGTCAACACCACGGCTCTCATCTTGACGCTGGACCTGCGGGCAGAGCGAGAGTTGGGCTCGAACAGCCCCGGCAAAAGCGGCCCCGGCGGGGCTGAGCCCAGCCCGGCTCGAGGGTCCCCGCCGGGGATGGGCAGCGCTCGGTTCCTGCGGCTCCTGAGAGCAGCCCGGGCTCTTACCAGCTCTCTGTACCGCTGCTGCTCGTCCCGTCTGAGGGGCCGGGGCTSCGGCGCCGCTATTTATGCCGGAGGGGCAGTTCCGCGGAGATAAGCCAGCGCGGCGGCCCAAGAACGCGCTCCCGGCGGGCGATGTGGCGCGCAGGGTTCAAGGATCGCGCAGCAGCGGCCGAGGAGCGCGGCTTGGCAGGGGCGGCGAGCAAACAGGAGCTCCCCGCGGGACGCGCCTCGCCGGCCAAGGAGCTGTTTACGCTCCCGGTGACCCAGATTCCCGCTGGCCTTGCCGGGGCCCCTCGCAGCCCCCAGGGATTGGCCGCCGGCCCGGGGACAAGGTTTATTCCCGCAGGGATTTGGCCGGCCGTACCCGGACCCCTCGCCTCGGCCGCGGGTCTGTGCCCCGTCCTTCACCGCTCACGCCACCCCCTTTGCCCGCTGTGTCCCCAGCGCTCGGGGCCCGGGAGCGCTGCCCCTGCCCGACACGGGCAAAGCGACGGCTCAGCTCGGAGCGGGCACCGGCACCCCAAAAACCCCTCATCCCGAGCCAACCCCAGGGATCGCTGCCCCATTGCCACCAGCCCAGGGATCCACAGCAATCAAACAAACAGGGCTGGGTCCAGCCTGGCAAGAGGGGACAGGGAGAGAGGGGACAGGGAGAGAGGGTACAGGAAGAGGGGACAGGGAGAGAGGGGACATGGAGAGAGGGTACAGAGAGAGGGGACAGGGAGACAGTGGCCATGTCCCCTGTTGGGACAGTGTGCAGGGCTGGCAGCGCCACGGGCAGCGGCTGCAGAGTGATGTTCCCGTTTCTGAGCAGCAGGGCTCGGGGTGCAGGGGAGCTGCCAGTGCTGTGGGGGCTTTGGGAAATCGAACGGGGGCACTGCAAGTGCCAGGGGGGCTTTGGGAAACCCAAACWGGGAGGGCTGTGGAGCCCGGGGGAAGTGACAGCCCCGAGGATGGACTGGGAACACGGCGGCTGCTGCCCCTTGAGCTTTGGCGTTGAGCAACAAGGCAAACAAGAGCCCAGGGAAGATCATAATCATGGTTTTATTTGTTATGATCCCACTGTCCAACTAATTGACTAGTTGCAAGTGACCCACAAAAAAATGGACTGAAGATTTACTGAAACGTTTCTTTTTTTTTTTTCCTGTTCGTTTTTAGTCCAACATAAATGAGGAAGAAAAAAAAATACTTCTGACATTTCCAAAAAACAGAAATAATAGCAAAGTATATTAATATACATTCAACATATACTGCGCGTATTGATTACTACAATACAAAGCCATGATAAAAAAAGTGTGATACTGCGGATGGCACGGTGAGGCGGCCCTGCGGGGCGGCTGCTGCTGGGGGGGGCCCGGCGACTCTCCCAGGATACAGTGTCATGTAAACAAAAGGAAAACGAACCAAAGGGACAGAGCAAAAGGCTTCCCGCGTTTCCCACCCTTCCCGCTCGGTCCGGCGGGCTCCCCGCGCCCCCCGAGCCCGCAGGAGCCGGGTGAGGGGCTCGGAGCTTCCCTCCTCTCTCTGATTTTCGGGATCGCAGAGCTGTTGGCATTGTTCTCCCGTTAGCATTGTTCTCCCGGAGGAGGGGAGGCCGGGAAGAGGCGCGGGGTGAGGATAGCAAAGTCACCTCTGCCGTGCTGGTTTCACACTTCCTTCTGTGCAAAGTCAGGAGGGCTGGGTTGACGTTTCCTTTAGTTTGTTTTAAAAAATATTCCAGAAAAATGTCAGTAAGAAGGATCTGAACTGGAGCTTAAGTCCCAAAGGCAAGGGTGACACCACAGGCTCCCAAGCCCCGGTGGGGTGARGGGCTTCCTGCTCTATCCACCACGGAAAGGATGGAAAAGGGACAAAGAAGAGACCTCTGCACGTCCCAGCTGTAAAAGGAGAATTACCACTGTCGCCACTGGCACGAGAGAAAACCAGTCACAAGTACAATGTCGTTAAAAGAAATAAAATACTTTGAACAAAAGGTGCAAGTCACAATTCATATAGAACAGAATCTAGTTAAAAATTTCTCTCAAACAGAAATTCCTTTTGCCTTTTATTAATAACAATAATAATAAAACAACATTTACCAAAAAAAAACAATTCCTACGTGATCAGGAGGAAAAGCGAAGGAAACAAAGAAAAATCCGTCTGCCCTACATTAGCCAGGAAAAGAAAAAACCCCAAGTCGTGGCAGATTTGGAAAGAAAAGGGAGGGGAGGGCAGGGGTGATCCTGTCAACACCCCAACACATGAGAGGGAACAGAGCAGACAGAGGTGAGACAAGAAGTGGTTTGCACCGGGGTGGGGAGGGCCCCGGCAGCGCTGCCAGGATCCCCCAGTGCAGGCAGACAGGGTGAAGGAGAGYGTGGCCTCCATCCAGGAGCAGCTCCAGTCCCTTGGACCTGCTCGGGGCAGGTTCTAGGAAGGCTCAGCCCGGCCTGGGGCCCCGGGCAGGGTCACCCCAGAGCAGCCCCCACACCCAGGCTGATCCTCCCTCCACGCTGGGCTCAGGGCTCTGGGTGCAGCTGGACTCACAGGCAAGTGTGGCAGAAATTAAAGAACCCAAAGGAACGACACACTGGATGAAGTGAGGATGAGGAAAGGGGCCATGGTATTCCAGTTAGTCAGAAATACTACGGCAATTTGGCGCAATGCTGCTAGATACTGTTGGTTTAAAATGGACCTTTTCGTTTCAAAGCTGTACACAAACCCTGCAAGAGAGAGAGAGAAACAGAGATGTCATGAGACACCAGAATGGCACATTTCCCACAGCCCTCCAGCATTGCCAGGCCATTCCTGCAGACCCTGCCATGCASAGGGGTCTGGAGAGCAGCACAAGCCTGGGAGAAGGGAGGGATGCTGCCCCTGGGCAAATGTGGGGACAGCAAACAGCCCCAGCACAGGAGCTGTGAGCTGATATCCCAACSCCAGCCCTGGGCAATGAGCAGGGAGGAGACCCCTGGAAGGGAGGCCATGGAGACAGCCCGAGGTGTGGCGTGGAGACAAAAGGACACAGGGACACTCACCCCCTCCTGGTTACACCCCCGCCTGCTCCATCCCAAAGGGCACCTCCGGGTGCTTGTAGCTCAGCAGGACGTCTGTGATACACGTCGAGGGGTAGCAGGAGGTGTTGAGGTGCTGGCTGCCATCGCCCAGGTTCGGGTGCTCTTCATCCTCCAAACTCTCCCCGCATTCTGCAGGGTCAAGAGGAGACTCAGCCCCGCAGCCCCCGAGGAGCTGTCCCCATCCTCCTGTGCCACATGTGCCAAACTCTCCCCGCATTCTGCAGGGTCAAGAGGAGACTCAGCCCCGCAGCCCCCGAGGAGCTGTCCCCGTCCCCCCGTGCCACATGTGCCAAACTCTCCCCGCATTCTGTGGGGCCAAGAGGAGACTCAGCCCCGCAGCCCCCGAGGAGCTGTCCCCATCCCCCTGTGCCACACGAGCAGCCCCAGGGCTCACCCTCGCTGTCCCTGTCACGCAGCTGCTGACTGGCCATCAGTGACGACTGGCTGAGCACGGCGTCCGACATCCGAGCAGAGCTGAGAGCTTTTCCTGCCATCAAACTCATCCCAGGCAAGTTATCCAGCTGCACCTGTGTGGAGAGCAGGACAGACAGATGTCACAGGGCAGAGCATCCTGCTGTTCCCATCTGCCCATGGTGCCCAGGGAGCTYCTGCAAACCTCCAGCGAGGGTTTGGAAGGACAAGAACTGCATCAGGCACAGCTTGGGCGCAGCCAGAATCCCCCCAAAGAATGGATTGAATAGCCCAAACCCATCTGAACTAACAGRATCACAGCACAGCTCTGGAGATCATCCCATCCAAACCTCTGCCAAGGCAAGGACACCTGGAACAGGTGACAGAACATGTCCAGGTGGGTTTGGAATATCTCCAAAGAGAGAGATGCCATGCCCTTCCTGAGCTCTGCCACCCTTCGTGGGAAGCTTTTCCTCATGTTGGAAGGAACATGCTCCACAGATGGAACATTTGTTTTAGGCCATTGCTTCTCATCCTGTCACTAGGCACCACTGAACAGTGAAGTGACATTGTCACCTACAGCAGAAGGCAGCAAGATTTGGGCAGGACAGGTCCCAGCACCCCAAACCCCACAGGGAGCAGAGCATCGAGGTGTGGGCTACCACAACCAGCTCCTTCCCAGCCCCGCAGGACCCACAGGACCCACAGGAGCCCTGAGTGGCCAGAGCCAGCCAGGCCAGGCTGTTTGAGGAAGGCAGAGGCACCTACGTAGGCATCATCACTGTTCTGGATGGTGTGATGTCTCTGCAGGGTGCGGGGCCGCTGCTCGCTGGACGAGGGGCGCACGGGGTAGCCCAGGCCGTTGTGGTCAGGCACCTGCATGGCTTGGCCGGGCGAGCTCCTGTCCATGCAGTTCCCTACGATGGACTCTTGAAAACCAGATGGGACAGAAAAATGACAGGTTAGTACAAGGAACTGGAGCTCCCAGCCATGTGTGCCACTGCAGGATGGAAYGGGGTGCCACACAAATGCCTCATGCTGGCAGAGTGAGGACAGCACCCCCAGCTGCTCTGGTTTGCCCCCAGTTGAACTGGGGCTTCTCCCTCCAGGATTAAGATCCCAAAAGATCCCAATGCTGGCTGCCTCCCACCAGGTCTGCAAGAGCAGCCTAAATCTGGAGGGACACSAGCACAGGAACCAGACCCTTCCCCTCGAGCCCGAGCTCGACCCCCACCCTGCMCACATCGTTACACAAGAGCTGGGGGAGCCTCCAACACGGGATGTTCCAGCAGGGCCCCTTGGCAATTGTAAGCAACATAATCCTGCTGAAGAGCTGGCCAGGATGTTCACTTTTATCAGATGACTTCTCCCAGCCCTTCCCCAGYCTGGCTGCGGGAGCACACSAGTGTTCTGCCTGGCAAAGTCCATCTGCGCTGCAAGCTCTTGTGACCGGGGGCAAAGGCCACATTCCTATCAGGCAAAGCCTCTCGTCATCAAGTACAAGATGTTTTGGATAAAGTCCTGAGCCATGGAGGAGCCTGTCATCGGGGCTGARCTCGAGGAGCGCACACCCTGCCGAGCACAAACCCCCGAGGTGGCTGCGCTGCCCCGAGGTGATGCAGCTGCAGGGACATCCCTCACAAAGGCAGAGCTTTCCCAGGCCTTTGGCCAGTGGGAATGGGTGTCCTGCTGTGCTGGGACACTGCAACTGCCACCAAAGAGATCTCAAAGAATCCTCAACGTCCCGAGTTGGAAGGGACCCATGAGGATCACCGATGTCCAGCTCCTGGKCCGGTACAGGGCAGTCCCAAAATCTGATTTAGCAGGATCCAGCCCATGTGGCCCCCACGCTGCTCCCCGTGAGGTGAGCATGGACAGCACAGCTGGCACACTGCTCCCATGCCCTTCCTYCATCGGGAATGTGCCATTCCTGCTCTGTCCCAGGGCAGGCAGAGATGCAGCCTCCCCCTGCTTTGCACAACCCCGGGGTTACGTGCGGTTAACGTACGGTCAGCTTTCCCGGAAAAGCACGAAGGAAAACATGAGGTAACAGATGTTAGCGGATCAGTGCCACCCACACACTGCTTGGGATGCTGCTCCAACTGTGGGAACAGTGGTTGGGGCCAGCAGCCTGCTGCTCCAGCTCCACAAACAGCCCCGGCCCCAGCCCCTGCACCGCGGGTGACGAGTTCCATCAGCCAGGACCCAAAAAACAGCTGCTTCCCAATGCCAGCCCTGCACCTCTGGGGATGCTGCTCTGGACCAAGAGACAGACACCCCGAATTCACACCCCCAGCCCCCAGAGGAGAGCCTTTCATCCCCCATCCTTTGTGCCACCRTGGCATGTGACACTGGCACGGCGCTGCCGCCAGCTCGGCTCCCCCAGGCAGGATTCCCACGGGCAGCGCTCCCAGAAYGGCTACACTGGAGCAAAGCTGGAGCAAAGCTGGAGCAGGGCTGCTCATGGGCAGCTCAGTCACATCCCTAACAGATCTGGGCAGCTCTCAAGGTCCCCGGTGCCATCCCTGGCAGATGCTCCAGACATKCAGAGCTTTGTGATCAGCGTCAGCACGTGCCCTTGGAAGCACAGACACCCCCGAGCCATGGAGAGTCACTCTGCTCCAGGGAAAACACACGTGGGGAGAAGATACCCCTCAATCTGCAGCCTCATTACACAGTCTGGGAAAACAGGGGATTGTAGGATTCAGTGGAGGTCAATAGTGGGAAAACTGAGTGATGTAGGAATTGGTGTAAGTCAATAATGGGAAAACTGAGTGATGTAGGATTTGGTGTAAGTCAATAATGGGAAAACTGAGTGATGTAGGATTTGGTGTAGGTCAATAGTGGGAAAGCACAGAGATGTAGGATTTGGTGTAGGTCAACAGTGGGAAAGCCCAGGGGTGTAGGATCTGGTGGAGGTAAGGGTACCTGGGAAGCTTTGAGGTGACTCTGCCTGGACCTGAAGCAGCGCAGGCCTGAGTCCAAGTGGGTTATTGAGGCCATGAGGAAAATGGTACAGGCAGTTGCATCCCAGGACATAGTTTACTACAAACAGCCCTGTCAGAAGGCCTTACACAAGCCTATTTGTAAACATTTATTTGCTTTTACTCATTTACAAGGCCTTGTAGTCTAAAGTCCTTCTCCCTTGTGTACCCAGCTCTCGCACCAGCAGTGTGGGGGCAGAGATTTGGCTTCTGACTTGACCAAACCTCCCTGTCCATCTAACAGGCTGCAGGGACAAGACTCAGACTCAGGATCGGTACCAAATGCCCCTCCAGAGCAGAGCCCCCAACCTCCCCTGAGCCTGGGGCAATCCCCCCACTCCAAACAGAGCAGGGAAGTGGAGCTCCAAGAGCAAACAGATCAGGAWTTCAGAATTTCGGAGGATTTCAGCACAGCCCTGCCTTGTCCCTGCCCCCCGCCCAYGCTCTGGGGGGTCAGGGCTTGGCAGCCCCTCAGCTCTCCAAGCCAGCCTGTTCCAGCCCGGTACTTTCCCAACAAACCCGTGCTGTGTCCCTGAACAAAGCTGGGCTCTGGACACGGCTCCTCTGCAATAGGGCCCTGAGTGCCAAGGGCAGGCTGGTGGCTCCAGCCCAGCACCCCAATCCTGCAGGGAATACTGATCTGCCTGCCCAGCCTCTCCTCAAAGCCCTCTCAGCGAGGGGCTCAGGGGTGTTTTTTTGCAGAGGAGCCTGTGATTACAGCTCAAGCAGGAATTCTCTGCCAGAGCAGCCACTGAGGAGCAAAGGCACAGCTGCTTCCAAGGAGCAGGAAAGGTCTTCAGATCCTAAAGCAAGTTTAAACTCACTCYCTCCAAATCCACCCTTCCCAGTTCAAACAGGGATAGATTCTTTCTGCTGCTGCTGCTTCCYRAAGTGCCAGAGAGGCCACTGGAGCCACAGGACACTGAGCAACACTCACTSTGTGCTTGTGGGAGCTTTAGCAGTGCCTGGACTCGAGGGGCTGTGTGTAAGAGCAGGAATAAACGGATACACTGCTACAGTGGGGTGAGCTGTTCCCATCCCGTGTTTACAGGGAATGGGGAACATCACCAACAAGAATGACTCCACCACACAGCATCCCTGAGAAGATGGCAGCAGGCTGCAGCCTGGTCTTTACCTGCCTGCAGAAGTAGGTCAAACTCCTGAGCGAAGCAGCCCATCGGGCTCCTTCCTTATTCAACCCTGTTTATTACAGAGGCTGTGCCTGCWATTTACTTCAGGCCACAAAAGCCAGAAAGAATCTCAGTAATTCCGTGTTATGCAAAAAATGCCAGGAAAGCCCTGGCGTGCCGGGAGGGACGGTGTCCTGGGCACCAAGGTGAGTGGCTGGCACGGATGGACATGTGGCCAGCACGGATGGACATGTGGCCAGCACAGATGGACATGTGGCCAGCACGGATGGACATGTGGCCAGCACGGATGGACATGTGGCCAGCACGGGCAGCAGGGAGCCTTACCTCTGCTGGGCACCTTATTCCTGAATCCGGGCGCGGGCTGATGCCTGTACTGGTGCGTTCCCAGCTCCTGTGCAGGATTAGCAGTTCCTAGCAAAGATTCGGGGTCCCCGTGCCCTGCTGCGTTTACAAGCAGAGGGGTCTCGTGGCAACCTTTGGTCAATGTGTTTGAACTCTTACTGTCAGGAAAGCTGTCCCTGTTGCCCTCGCAGGCGCAGTCCTCCTCCATGCTCTCCGAGTGGAACAGGGCTGGCTGGTGTCCGTATCCCTGCGGCGGTGGTGGCACGGAGGCAGGGACCTGCTGGATACATTCTTGAGCCCTGATTTTTAGGAGATGTTGGGGGCTGCTCTGGGGGTGGTAGGTGTCAGCACTCTGATAAGGCAAAGATAACGACTGGCGCTCCGAGAGGTTCTGTCCCATGCTGGTGCCCATACTGCCAGCATCCCCTTGACTCATATGCCTGAACAACTCTTGGAATTCTTGCTGCTGCTGCTGCTGCTGCCGCCGTTTGATGAGCTGTGCAAATTCTGCCTGGGGCAGCCGCATGTCCGTGTGCCCCGTGAGCGAGTGCCGGGGGGAAAGCAGTCCCTGGAGGATGTGCGGTACCTGCTGGTGTCGGCTGTAGTCGGGAGGTGTCGGGGACAACAGTGCCTGCTGTAGTGCCGATGCCGTGTAGTGCTGCTGCTGCTGCTGATGTGCGTTCGGAGGGAAATTGGGGTACTGCTCGAGCTGCGGGACCTTCAGAGCCTGCTGGGCTGCAGGGAACCCCACCCCTCCCGACGGGCTGTAGCTGCTGGGGGAAACGCGGGGCTGCTCCGGGAACAGGTGGGGGTGTAAGTGCACCTGGTCGTAGTTGGCGGGGGGATACCTGTTCAYGGTCAAGGACAAGGAAAAGGACAAGTGACCACACTGCTCAGCAGGAGCCAGAGCTGCTCCCGCACGGGAGGCGATTCCCCGGGCACAGCAACACTGGCCTGGCTCACCAACTCCTTCCCAGGGACAGGGAGGGGGCAAGCACAACCCAGACTGGCGAGGACACCATGTCTCATCCTGAGATGCACACTCCCTGCTCTCAGTAGTGCTCCCTGAGCCAGGAGCAGGCACAGAGCAGACACAGAGCAGCAGGAAAGGAGCAGGAGGCACGAAGCAGGCACAGAGCGGGTACAGAGCAGGCACAGAGCAGGCACAGAGCAGGCACGGAGCAGGCAGGGAGCAGCAGGAAGGGAGCAGGAGGCATGGAGCAGGCACAGAGCAGGCATGGAGCAGCCCTCACCTGTGCGACTCGGCGCTGTCGGCGCTCAGCTGCTTGGACAGCTGCCGGTGGCCGTAGCTCAGGGAAGCCATCAGGTTGGCGCGCTGCTGCATCTGCATCTGGCTGGCGCTGGGGCTCAGGGACATCCCCCGAGTGTGGGATGCCACCGAGGCCCCGGGCAGGAGGCTGCTGCCCACCATGTCCCCGGGCTCCTGCACTTGGATGGTGACCTGCTGGGACTGCTGCTGCTGCTGCTGCAGGGCCAGGCACGTCAGCCCCATGGTCGGGGGCGGGGAGCAGTTACCCGACTGCGGGAAGATGCTGCTGTGGGATGGCATCCCTTGGAACTGGGACTGGGAGGCAGCACCTGCAAGGAACAAAGACCCTCAGCTGGCATTGGGGGGAGGTTTGGGAGCGAGAGCTGCTGGACAGGGCTYGCATTAAGCCCCTGCAGCAGGGGGCTGGAAAGGGATGATCTTTAAGGTCCCTTCCAAGCCCAACYAGGCGACGATGCCATGATTYACTCCATGACTCTGGGCCAGGCTGGGAGCCCCAGAAGTGCCCGTAYGGGTGCTCTGTCACGCCGTGCCAGCGTGCAAAGGTCACAGCCAGAGCCCCTTGCACCGAAACAGAAACTCCGCGGAGCTGACAGCGATTTGCATAAACCCGAGAATATCAGCCCTTCCTCCCCACCCCCGGGAGCGATAAGTAAGGATCTTGTGACAAGGAACCCAACAGCACATTCCAGCTGGCAGCTCCTCGCCAGCTCTCCATAACACCAGCCTTTGCTGCCAGATGGAGAATCTTTTACATCATCAGCAAACTGTGCAGGGGCTGAGCTGGGCTGGGCTGGGCTG